TTTTTTTTTTTTTTTTTTTTTTTTTTGGGTACGGAGAATCAAAGTCAGGGCCTCCCTCAGTGCCAGACAAGCATTGCACCACTGAGCTATATCCACAGCCCCTCCACTTTTGGATTTAATTTTGACCTGACCTACCTTTCATAGGACTGTGGTAATCTGTAAGTGATGCTCTTTTAAATCATTACCACTTAATTATGCAATAACTAAGAGAAAAGCCAATTCCTTCTGTTCTTCTGTATTCTCACACTTTAGACACTATTCTCAGGGGTTGGCAACTGGCAACTAAGAAATGTTTTATCTGTGCTCTTTGTTAATGCACAGCAGATCTCTTCTACATACTAGAGAGAAAAAAACAGTCAGAAAGAGGCAGAACTCACAAAAGTTTACTGGCAAAGTTAGGCAGAAGGGAAATACCTACAAGTTACGGTGAAGTAAGATGACATTAAGGATAATAACTGCAGCCACTAACACTAACAAGCCCTTGTGATGCCAGGCACTGTTCTAGTGCCACATGAACAAGATGAGGGATGTGCTATTTTTTTTCTTCAATACCGGTGACCAACACCTTATCAATGTTGACCATGTATTCTTCTAATAAGTTACATTCACAGCCCTGAAGCACTGAAGACAACGAGGGACAGACAAAGTCATATGGCTAAAAGTAAGTTGACATCAATCATAATATCCTATTTTGAATCAAAATTCTTGGTCACTAATGTTTAGATTCTTATTTTATAAATAAGGCAAGGATACAAAGTATGTTTATATAGAAAAAGGGTATTTACAGCTTTAAAAGTGTATTTATGTATGAGTGTGTATATTTATTTTGTTGTAGTTGTTGTTTGTTTGGTTTGGATTTTTTGAGACAGGGTCTCATCACATAGTTCAAGTTGGCCTTAAACTCACTATGTTATCCAGGCAGGCCTCAAACTCACAGTGACCTCCTACCTCAGCTTCCCAAATGCTGGGATTATAGGAGTATGCCACCACGCCTGGCCTATTTTTTTAAAGGATAATTACAGCTGGGCGTGATGGCACACATCGGTAATCTCAGCACTCAGGAGGTTGAGGCAGGAGGATCACAAGTTCAGGGCTAGCCTGGGTGACGTAATGAGATCCTATCTCAAAATAAAAAGAGCTGGGACCTCATCTCTGACAAAGAAGCCAACCATTCTCACTGTAGGCAAGACAGCCTCTTTAATAAATGGTGTTAGAAAAACTGGATTTCAACCTGCCAAAGATTAAAACTAGATCCTTATCTTTCAACATGCACTAAATTAAAATCCAAGTGGATTAAAGATCTAAATATTAAAAAAGAGTCACTAAATTTGCTGGAAGATAAGTTAGGCAGAACTGTTGAAGACCCTGGCATAGGAAAAGACTTTATGAACAAATCTTCAGTAGCACGGGAACTAGCAGAAAGAATCAACAACTGGGATCTCATTTTATTAAAAAGCTTCTGCACTGCAAAAGAAACCATCAACAGAACTAAGAGACAAACTACAATGTGGGAAAAAAATTTTTACCTGCTGCTCCTCAGACAAAGGACTATTATCTAGAATTTATAAAGAACTCAAAAAAATCAGCCCCCCAAATATAAAGACCCGATTCAAAAATGGGCATCTGAAATGAATAGACATTTCTCAGACAAACAAGTAAAAGCAGCAAGCAAATATATGAAAAAATGTTCCACATCACTGGTCATTCGAGAGATGCAGATGAAAAAAACACTGAGATTCCACCTCACCCCACAAAGAATGGCTGCTATTAAGAAATCACACAATAACAAATGTTGGCGGGGTTGTAGGGAGAAAGGAAGCCTTCCCCATTGTTGGTGGGATTGCAGACTGGTGCAATCACTATGGAAATCAATATGGAGATACCTCAGAGAGCTGGGACTAGAGGTTCCATTTAACCCAGCCATCCCTCTGCTGGGCATCTTTCCAAAAGAATTAAAAGAATCACATCACAGTGATATATGAGCACCTATGTTTACAGTGGCACAGTTTGTAATAGCTAAAACTTGGAAACAGCCCATTTGCCCATCAGTTGGAGTCTGGATAAAGAAGATGTGGTTTTTCTATAAAATGGAATACTACTCAGCCATAAAGAATGAGAAAATAGATTCATTCATAGGAAAATGGATACATATTGAGGATATACTCCTAAATGAAATAAATAAGTCACACATGTATAAATACTGAATAGTTTCTCTGGTATGAAAAACTATAATAGTACATAAGATCCTAATGATATAATTGACAATGTGAAACAGGAAGAAAAGGGCTAAAGGTGTAGGGGAAGTGGGAAGGGTAGGGGAAAGGTAATAAGGGAAAAGAAAAAAAACATTGGAAAATGAAAAAATGGAAATAAAGTCTTTATAAATAGGGAATGGGGGAGGGGTAAAGGGAGGGCAGGGGTATGGGGAAAAAATGAGAACCAAGATCTGTTATGGGGGCGGTACAAGATCCCAATGATGAATGTAACTGTACTGTATACCTAAAATGTACCAAGAAACTCAATGAGAAAAATAAATAAGTAAATAAAAAGAGCTGGGGATATGGCTCAGTGTTAGTGTGCCCCTGGGCTTGATCTCCAGTAACAACAACAACAAAACAATAATAATAATAATAATAATTTTCACTATAAGGCATAGTAACACTGAAACCTTACTATAGTCTTGCCAGTAGGGCACAAAATGTGAAGGCACCTAGTGTTAGAAGCACTGACACGAAGCCCTTTGCTATTTTGGCAGCAAACACCAAAGATGGAATCTTTGTCAGACTGGACTTATTCTAAATTTGGTGTTTTACAGTATCAGTCCAGTTCACTCTCTTGGTGGGAAAGTCAGTAACATTCTATGAAGTACATGTAAATACCCCTCACATATAGAATCTGGGCAGTTTGAGAAACTAAGAAGAAAAAGTCTACAGTATTACTATTTTTTTTTTTAAAA